GAACACAACAAGATTGTGAATGGTATTAAAATGTTGATGAATGGCTTGGAATACTTGTTGACTTGTGGCTAATTCAGGTAGCATGAGTTAAAAGTCATCACAAAGGGATCCAATTATTGTTGCTGTACTATCGTATGTGCATCACTTGAGTGGATATATTTGTGGGAAGAACAGCTATACCAGCTGTTTCAAGTTACAATTTTTAAGCGTTGTAGTGAGCCGCGCAATATTTAAATTAAGCCTACGTAAGTAACTATTTACATAATGGCATATACGAAAGACTTTGAATACAAGCAAAATAACCACTCGGTTATTGCTCATTTGCACAACCGCATGGGTGGTAACGCTGGAGCAGAGAACCTGCTATAGAATTCTACTGATTTCAATTACATGTTTAGTAAAAGATTTTAGAAACATTGAGATCAACATATAGCTATTTGCGATGTTGTGTGTTAACCTATTTCAAGCCGTCGAAAGCTAATGCTAGCCGTATATAAATGACGGTATATCGCTGAGCAAATATGAAGAGGCAATGCGTTCATTGGTGTTGAAATCGATGTCAACAAGTTGCTAAATTATATACGCAGCTAATATTGCTTGTCAACCTAAATAAAACTTTCTACGATATCAAACTTCCAAAATGAAATCTTTCAAAATGCATGCGAATATCGCGCTTCCGTATAAATTGCTGCATTTTAAATTTAAAAATGGGACAGATATGCTATTGAAATGATATGAGTACTTTTTCTTATTACTGAAACTACAAGTTGTTGAGGATAAAATGCATGTACATGCATACTTGCCTATGCATAAGCACCAGTGTGAAACTGCATGATATTTTACTGAGCTACTTGGTATTTATGAAATTTATAAGGTTATGGTTTCCAAAAGAATTTAAAACATAATTCAATCAAACTTTCCAAAGATTTATCGTTTGAATCGGCTTTCTATAGGCCTGTATTGTGACATACATTCGCCATTAACACAAGGGATTGTTCAAGTCAGGTAAAGTAGTACAGATTTTAACTGCCACTATATCTTAACATGGAAGATGTTCGCGTGTGATTAGTTGGGTCTTTGGATAATATGTGGTTAAATGTTTGAAAGATCAAGAGCTCAATCCGATGAAACAATGAGCATGGGCCAATTTCTTTTCATTCGTGTAATGAGTCATTCACAAGTGAGGCAGTGAGGGTGTTGCTCTTGACTTACTTGATAATAGTTCCACGTTTTCACTCAAACCTGTGTCCGTCTGCCAATGATGCTCAGACTAACAGGTTTAAAAGAGCCCGCCACGAGTTCTACGGTTCCACGCCGTCTATTTTGTTAATGCAATTATTAGCCTTTGCGATTTCCAGCGATGAGTAATTAATCTTTGGCTTATCCTCATTCCCCCCTCCTAATGATCTTTACCTTGTCCCAATCGATTGTGTGTACCGAATCTAGCGCCTGTACCGCTACCGGCAAATGGTTTGATAATGCCTTTTGTTCAGACTCATTTATTAGTGAATGCAAAAGGTAGCTTTCATTTTTCTTCTAACCATGTCTACTTATCTCCATTTTTGGACTATATCCACTTGCGCAAATTCGCTGCAACTAAATGTGTAGACTCAATTATTCGTCTTATACTTTGGAAGCGGAACATTCAAACGCGCGCTTCTAATCGGAGTGTTGGATCACTTTGGAAAACCACTGTTATCCTCTTGTATACTACCCTCCTGATGCCTCCAGATGTTCCCACTTCATAAGGGATTCCCACTGTAACATTCAATTGCGACTTACGCTGTGTGTGTTGATATAGTGCGCTGTTTAGTTGACTTTTAACTGTCTCTGATATCCTACACCTCTTATTCGCTTAATGCCTCTCTCCGTTGATCCCTCTTGTCCTCTTTCTCTGTGCACATAGTCTGGATGTATAAAAAGTAGAGGTTGCGACAGTTGCACACATGAATTTCCAATGACCTGAAATAAATTGCAATGAACCAACTGCATCTGTTAGTTTTCGCTAAATGTTTGCAATTTTCGTCCTTCCTTTATGGGAACAAAGCAAACAAGGTGTGACAGCATACCTCCAGCTAGATTTCGTACTATCCTACATTTTATGTTTTCTCTACTGGAGTTCAGATAGTTTATAAAAGCCTCTTTATTATGTCGATTATTGTTAACAAAATGGCATCTATGAAGCGACATCCAACTACTGGATAGTTGCTGGAAAATCTCAACATCAACTTTTTAAAGTCCTCCATACACAATTTTGTCGGTTCAAGGTTATTGGCGACCCCATAGCAAGGCTCTTTTCCTTGAGTACACAGCCTCGACTAAAACGTGAATTATGACATACTAAGACACTGTTTTTTCCATCAATTCTCCGGTCTACTGTGAGTTATGTTCTTACCCCAAGCTATTGTCCTCAGTGTGATAGCGTTGTGCTACCCCAAATGCAGCACGCTTTGGTACACCCGTCAATAATGAAATAACGTTGAATTTGATCATAATATTTTATCAGACTCAATGATCAAAACTGCCACTTTGTGTGCGCAAACATAAGATTACTTTATGAACCTATTCATTTTCATATTTATGGGCCATATAAATCTACCAGATATCTGGCTAGTTCTTGGTTTGGAGAATCGATGCCATCCACAATCGACCGAATCGGAATGTTGGGCATATGTATCTTCGGTAGCCCAAATATCCTTGGCGTCAGGGTTGATTCTGGATATATATAATACCATTCCCGAAGCCATGTATAATGCTTTACACTTTTCAGCTAATGTCTAACGACCGTTGTATTCTACTTCATTACAGACCCTACCGCTTTCTACTCAATTCCATTTTAAAGCACTGTGGTTAAATGCACTCAAAATTTTCTACACAATCTAATTGGTTCATTATCACTGTGGTCTTACCTTTCACGGCTTTTGTGATGACATTGGTAGAGTCTCATATAGGGCTGGTAATGCGGTGCGCAATGCTGTTGCATGATTTTATTTCCAATGCTTTTTACATCTGACAATGTCTGCTACAAGTATACGAATATCCTTAGCTTTTGAAACAGGTTACCATTGTCTGGAGGTTAGAAATTGCCTTTCCGCCTCTTAATCTCAGCGTGAATTCACGCTTAGTTCCTTCACACTCTGTGTGGAATGTAGCATTTTGCATTCAAGCGTTTTGGTTCGGCCTTCTCCACCCTTCCAAAAGATTACGAATAACAACTGTTATTGGTAAACCGGAAGGCGGACGTATGCGTACCTTGTGAAAAGACGGTTGATTTCATGTTGAAGTACTTCATATTTTGCAATCAACGAATATTTTACTACGCTTTTTTAACAGTTTTCAGTACATTATCATAGTATGTTCTTTTCAGCACAGTTTGCTCTCAGCCATGCAAGTTCTTACGATGCCACCTCAAAAATATGTTTATTTTTACCAATTTGATGATACAATTTTGATGGAGCGTTGTGTCAAGATAAATAAACGCAAATGTGTTTAATTAACAATGATTCCCCGTTTAGTGTTTTAAATGAATCTACCCAGATTTTCATTAGTATATTTATCCTACAAATGGTTTATCAGGTTTTATTGCTGCAGTTAGGCGTTAAGAAACCTGCTTGTAAGCAGCAGCTTAATACAAAGTATTTTTGCGTGACATAATACTCATACCCATTCGTTTGTAGACGCACAGAATTCGGACTAATTAATTCTTTATACGCCAACTACATAACTAAGTTCTAATTATCTTTTAAAATTTCATTCTTTGGACCTAAACCTCCTCAGAGTTATTCAGAAGTATCTTTAAATTCAAGTCGAGGATCACACCGTGGACAATGCTTAAATTTAATAACTCTGCACAAGTTACTTTAGTGTTAGCCAGTGCTGGAACGCGGCATCGATAATTGCATTAAAATAAGTCCTTAAGGAGAATATGGCAACGAGTAAGGACATAAGCTATGTATTTAACAACGTTTTGCAATGCAATAAGAATCACTGTAAACAATAACTATAAATTCAACCAAATCGCTATGCACCGAGCCGTAAAATTTTGTCCAACTTATTATTAGCAATAATTATGGACTGATTAGTAGGCATATGCGGGATAAGAAAAAATACTTAGCTCTAAAGACAAACATTTCGCTTAAAATCATTATCGTGTTGGACTAAAAATACATTAAGTAAATAGGTGAATTATGTATTTAACCCATACGAAAATGCGGCATAATCGACGCGATATCCGTCCAATGTTGCAGTGTTTAGGGCCGGTAAAACGCAATCAACGACTGCACCATCAGACAACTTCCCAGTGATCGGTCATACAAGATAAACTACAGTTTTAATTACAATCTGCATTGCGATTGCGCGTTACAATCAATGCAGGAAACACGTAGTTAAAAATGAATCTGTACTCATTTAGCTACTATTTTCAACATAATTCCAGATGCTTCAATTCAAATAAGCGTTCAAATCGAATATGCCTGGAGGTGAAATCTCGATAAACTTACTGGAATGAATTTGTTTACTAAACGTAGCTCACTCGCATCTATCCACAAAATATTTCATAGCTGATTGACCGCAGATTATTGGTGCATGTAAGCCGTCCAATTAGTAAATCACACGAAGAGTATTTAAGCGTATGAACCGGCACAAATTTGACGATACAGTTGAAGCATGTGAGTTATGTCTAAACAATACTTTGAATGCATCTATTTCATTTATCCTGACTTTTGCGTGTTTGAGGGCATTGATGCATGTTAAAATTGTAGTTCGTCGTGTATATAGTGGCCTTCAGCGGGGTAGGCCTAAATGGCGTCCAAAGATGGCACTCAAATTATTGGTTTAATATTAATAAATAAATAACTTTTATATTTACCGACAAACGGTACACGGCCCCATAAGCCAGAGTGAACGTTAATGCATTTCCACTTCAGATTCAGAGGTGTCAAGAAACCTTTATCGAAATGCAACCAGCCAAAATAATCATATTTTTCACCGGCTTACTAGCTATGGTATACGTTACGGATGCTGAGACGTTTGCTATAAAAATGGAGTATGACAAAAACGGTGAGTTACATCTAGTGTTACCTATAAGTTATTGGCTAGACAAGCGATATTGTGCTTGACTATACTAATTTGCTGTATTTCATACTATGAGATTGCTGCACATACTTTTCTGTTTCCGACGCAGGTAAACCGTACGTGAAATATGGAGAGAGGAAGTTCGTCTGTGATCGTACCCGAAGTGAAAGGTATAAGGACAGCAATGGATGTGAAGTGGCATTGGAAATTATAAAGCCTAGTGAAGATCAAATGCGCAAAAGGAAGGGCTATGTTTATGGCTCTAGGTACGTTATTTGATCCAATAAGCTTTCCTTCAACTCCCATGAGTATAGCCATCAGTGTTATTAATGCTTGTTCTGGTGGAACTTGCAAGGAAATCGCTAAGTTTTACTGCTATGCACAACGCCTTGTGGGTCAGGACCAACGTAGCATTTATCTAAACATTGTAAACACGGTAGCTGAACAAATGCATGCAGGGTTTATACTTAGGGGTGTATTTATCTATTGCTACGTTGCATTATGCGCTGATGAGGCCTTTATTTTATTCTTTCATTTTAGACTCTGCATTCCAGGAATCGCTAAGCATTGGTAACGAACATCCTCTTATTAAAATCGTACATCATTTTAGTAAGAAATACATATCTTGTCCACTGTTACTTTGTTGTTATTTCCCGGCAGATCAGATAAATCGACCTCAGTTTGATTTCTAAGCTATTAACATTTCGAAAAAATGTTATTTACTTCTAACCAAAAGGTAACTTCAATTTACAGAGGTTTCTTATGAAGCTGCGGTACCATACGTATGGAATTGACTGAATTACTGAAAGCATGTAGTGCGAGATCATTTTTTATTTTTCTTAACCTCCAGTACTAAGCTTTCCATAGGCACAAACTGAAAATGGGCGGATGGCGGCAATTTAGCGTATACAATTTGATATGGGTTGTGGCAAAGACAACACAATATAGCGCCGTATAAAATCGTCTCCAAATCTTTGCATAAATAGCTAGGTGGTCACACTTCTATTCGGTATTGATAATGTGAAAATTTGCTAGGTATTATGGGAATGTATTGAGTTAACATTTTCCAAACAATGAGAACATGCTTGTATTATGAGAGGCCGTATTCTGCACAAGCTAAGCATGAGAGTTACGAGTTGCTTGCTTGGCTGGAATAAAATAGTTTTCGCATCCCTGTCATGCAAAGATATGATTGGTTGGCTGCATTAAAAATATCCCTAAAATCCTTGTAACAAACAGATAATTACCCAGTAATTTTATTAGAAACATATGCCATGCTGAACAAATGCTTGTAAGAGTATGGCGTCGAAAGTACCCTATAACTAATTACGTCACACTTTTTTTATACAAATATTGCTATCTGATCTTTTAACCTAGAATATACACATGGTTAGAGTACAAAATGGTTGGGACAGTAGATTTTGTTATATAATTCTCTAACCGTATTCTAAGAAGCAGAGTAAAATGCAGGATAGGAATCACGAATATGTTTGCAACGTAAGCTCAAGGGAAGGAAATAGACAACAGCAAGGGTAATCTTTTGTGCTTGACTATGTTCAAAGTGCATGCAATTCAATTGGACGTGAAACCGTCTCTTTGAGCGTGTTATATTCTAAATAACAAAGCATATTCTTATCCAGATGGTGGAAAGATGTGGGATGGAAGTCCTGAGTCATGATGCGTGATTTATCCATCTGGTTCATTTCCTTTTCTTAACCTTTCCATTGAAGTGATGGCGTTGAGACCGGCTAGATTTACATGATATTTCGCAGAGCTACCTATGCCAGCGTTAGATGGTAGTCCATGCGGTTTTGAGATCAATGCAAATATACGTCAATTTTTTCAACAGTTACATCCCATAATCGGTCAAGTCGATAAAATACGCTTGCAAATGATGTTGCTCTAGTTGTTATTCCTACCATCCGCATGTTCATAAATGAACACGTAGGAAGATTAGACCCGCTATATCGCAGTTAGATATCAGTGCTGGCGGTCCCCTGCCTTCGCCATTGCTCAGTGGTAAAATTCACTGGCTCGCAAGTGTTAGGCGATGGGTTGTAATCCCGCATGGTTTGGGGTAGCATATATTACTTACAAGTACTCATTGGAAGAAACGCTCGTCTAGCTTATTCCTACTAGTGTATTGGCTACTTGTGTGTGTTTAAATGAGATGAATATTCCCGATACTTTATGCAATCAAGTAGCTTGTTATTTCAGCCTTCAGTTCTAAATCCGGTATGCGCCTTGTCTATCACATTACGCCTTTAAATACTGTTCCCTTCATAGAAACCTGAAGCTGAATTACAAATTAAGCAAGGATCAATTGTGTGTTTAGCTTGAACTGAACAGAATTGTATGATATATGAAAGTCAGACGGTCTGATGCAACGTGACGTTCGTAACGTTTGCTTAGCAGCAGCGCATCATTTACCAGTAAAAATCTGTGACCCCACCAAACATGATTGTCCCACGTCTGGGTGGGAACTGCTTGATACGTGTTCACAGATAGGATCGAGCGCAAGTGATTCGCGGATGCAAGAATCCGCCGACGTTATTCGATCCGAAGACACTAAAGAGGCCGAGAAAATAACATGAAGATATAGAACAGACGCAAATGTTTCCCCTTTTAAACAGTAAATATATGGCCAAAACCAAAAATCCTGATTGAAGACAACCTGCTAAAGTGGAATCAAGTAACAATCCTATAAAACGCTGCAATCGAAATACCGCTGTTTGGAAAGATTTCGACACATAATCTCTATCCAGACATCGGTTCAGTTTGAAGTGGGCGTCTTCCTTTACGATCAAATGTAGCGTATCACTTTGTGGTGGCTCGGTGTTGCTCCTTCCAAAAATGTCACGCCGTAAGAGGACACGTCCTTGTTTAGACTCATCAGATGAAGATAGTCTGAGTTGGGGTGCATCTCGTAGCGAAGTGGTTGAAAGTTGACGCATTGATCACGATGGCCCCTAGGTCTGCAGTAAAGCATGATACAGCGGTAAGGAATTCTGACTTGTGTTTGGAATACCCGCTGTGTGTTTAATTGCCTAAAAGTAATCTCGATTAACTCATCGGTTCAGCCTTTATTAGAAAGCAATCTTTAAAACCACAAAGACAGTATCGAAAGTCTAGATGGCTTGGTCTTGCTGCTCCCGAACCTAACACCCCATAACAGGTTTCGTGCTCTTTTAGACTCCTTAGATGGAGATAGCCTGAGTCGGGTTAGAACTCGTAGCCTAGTGTTTAAAGGCTGACGCATGAAATATTGTGGATTTAAGATCCGTGAGCAACGTTAAGCTCTACGGTAAGGAATTTAAATTTGCATTTAAAGTGACCGCTGTGCGGATGGATGGCGATACGCAATCTGTAATCAGAACCCAGTCCTAACGACACGAAGATCGCATGGCATATTGGGGCGGATTGAGGGTACTACTCCGAACCTTGACACCCAATTACCGGTTTCGTCCTAGTTAAGGCTTATCAAATAGACATAGATAGAGCTGGGTTGGAACACGGAGTCTAGTGGTTAAAAAGCTGACCGTCTGATTACTATGGCACTAAATCCGTGTAAAAGCTGGGCGAGGGCTAAGACATTCAAAGTTGCACTTGAAATACTCGCAGTGTGGATGGATTACGATAAGCATTCCAGATTAGGTACTCGGATCAGGTTTAACTATAACTCAGTCATCTGGATTACAAAGGTCGTATCGGAATGTGATGTACCTCGACGTTGCTGCTCCCATTCCTGACAATGTATAACCGGTTTCCTACACTTTAGGACTCCTCAGATGGAGATAGCCCGAGCTGGGGTGGTCCTCAGAGCGTAATGGTTAAAGGATGGCGCCTTTTTACCTATGGCTATAAGAACCATGTACGAACATATGCACGATAGTAACCCATTCAAAGTTCAGTTAAACGGTTGGAGCGCTACAAGCAATTTTTATACATACTTTGGGAAAGTTTGAAGTAAACATCGGCCATTACGACTTCACTGACCGCAGCCGAATTATGAGTGGCTGCGAGTTGCTTCACCCAAGCTGACACAACCTAACCGCCTTCGTCCTCGTTTGGACTCATCACATGGAGAAACCATTAGCTAGGTTGGAAGTAGAAGCCTAGTGTTTAATGGCTAAATCCTTACGCGTTATGGCTATCAGGTCAGTGAGAATCGCTTTGCACATCGGTTAGATTTAAAGTTTGCGTTTGCAGTACCCACTATGCGACTGGATTGCAAAACGAAAGCCATAACCGGAGCTAGGTAATCGCGACCAAGCGGGGAGTTTCGGAATATCAGATGGCTCAGTGTTGCTGCTCCCAAAGCTGACACCTCATAACCAGATTCATCCTCGTTTTGACTCATCCGACAGAGATAACTAGAGCTGAGTTGGAAATCGTAGCCTAGTGCTTAAACACTTATCTAAGGTTTGAGGGCGACCCTTGACACAGCGGCAAAGAATTCTCGGTTGCATTTCGAGTACCCGCTGTGCGGTTGAATTGCGACTATCCATCTCACTTCAAACCATGGATGCCATTGAGGTAGATATCGATGATTACCACTGCAAGGACCGTTTCTGAATTTGACGTAACTCGGTGTTGCTGCTCCTAATCCTGACAAGGCATAACAGGTTTCGTCCTTGCTTGGCCTCATTAGATTATGAAATTCATAGGTGTAGTGGAACTAGGAGCCTTGTGGTTAAAGACAGACGCCTTTATAACCATGGCTCTAAGATTTGCGAGAAATACGTAGCACAATGGTAAGGAATCAAATGTTGCATTCGGAGTGCTCGCTGTGGGGTTGGATTGCGAAATTAAATTTCCAGTCCGAAATCGGTCACCACAGAAAGAGGAAATTTTCTGAATTTGACGTGGCTCGGTTTTGCCAATCCCAACACTCACACGACACAATAGGTTTCTTCCTTGTTTGGACTCATAAGGTGGCGATAGCCTGGGATGGAATGGAATTCAATGCCTTGTGTTTGGTTTGACGCAATGATTTTTGTTGCTCCAAGATCTGTGAGAAACACTAGGCACAACAGTAAGGAATCTAAGTTTGCTTGTGGAGTACCTACTGTGTGTGGGGGTCGGCCGGTGGCCGAGTGGTCTGCACGTTTGCTTTGCGACCATAAGGTCACCGGTTCGACGATTGATTGCGATACGCATCTCAAATCAGAACTCGGTTATCACGTCCGCAAGGACCGTGTAGAAATGTGTGGTTTCTCGGTCTTGCTGCTTTCATACTTAGCACCTGATAACCGGATTTGTCCTCGTTTACACTCATCAGTTGGAGATTGCCTGATCTGTGTTGCAAATTAGTGCCCTTGTGGTTAATGGCTGATGCATTGAGCACTATGGATCTAAGGTCCCTGAGCCACACTTGGCGCAGCGGTTGTTTGTGTATACCAGCTGTGCGGTTGAAATTTTACACACTACCTCTAATCAGACCTCGGTCAAAGTGACCGAAATCGCTTTAATCCGAATTTGAGGTGGCTCGTTTTTGCTGTCTTAATATCCGGATACCCCGTACCCGGTGTCCTCCTCGTTTGGACTCATCAGAACTAATTAGATTTAGCTGGG